TAACCCCAGTCTCAGGGGATCCGACACCCTCTTATGACTTACCTGGGCACTGCATGACTCAGGTGCACTTACATACATGCAGGCAAATACACTCATGCACATGAAAAATAAAAATAATAAAAATATTAAGGTCTGCTTCACAAGATGGAGCCCATATCTGCCAATGATATCGGGTCTAGGAATCTGTCGTTAGACAGGTCACAGGCCATAGGGGAAAGCCTATGATTCTGCTAAATAGACTATAGTATTAAACTGTTCCTAATGACTTATTTCTATACCCATAATATATCTTCCAACTCTCACCAGAGAAGCTTCATCATGTAGCAGATGATGATTAACACAGAGACCCACAACTGGTCAATGTGCAGAGAATAAGAGACTGCAGAGTCTTAACTTGAATGGGACATCTGTTTCAAACCTGTGCCTCACAAGGCTCAAGAATCTTTACAGAAGATGGGGCAGAAAAATTATAAGATCCAGAGGTGGTGAATGACCACAAGGAAACAGAGTTTCCTGGACAGCTGGACAGTTGTTCATATGAACTCACAGCAATGGTAACAGCATGCACAAGTAGCATGTAAGCTCAAGTCATACAACATCCCAGCACAGATGTGAGGAAGTAGGTAAGAAATCCCAAACCTACCTGAGCAATTATTTGCAACTGGCAACCAGTGCCTATGTAGACAAGGAGAGTCAGTTTCTTTAGGGTGTGATAGGTTGACCAGCCTTGGATGGACGGACCCACACCAAAGGGCATTTGAGGACACAGGTTTGACTCGATGGGTCTAAATATATTTAGTAAAAAAAGTGAAAAGACTATATATAAAGAGAGAGAGAGAGAGAGAGAGAGAGAGAGAGAACATGAAAGAGTAACTGCAGCAAACTCAGTGGCCCTAAACCCTGAGAGGGTGCTACCCAAGGACAGCAACGCAGAACTGAGAGTCTAGCAACAAACCCTGACTCATCTGACTGCCAGCATAGGGGCAAGACAATGGGCAAAGAATAGTCTTCCAAGTCCCTTGAGGACAACTGGATATTCAGATGCTAAAGAATGAATTTAGGCATCTCATCTTCTACCACAAACAAACATGAACTCAAAGCAGACCCTAGACCCAATTTCAGAGCTAAAATTAAAAAACTCCAATAATAAAATGTATTTACCTTCCTAGCCTCAGATTAGGCACTGATCTTTCATACATAACACCAAGAGGATACATATTTAAGAAAGAAAAAGATAAATGATCTCAACATGGTTGTACATGTTTAATCTTAGCATGTAAGAGTTAGAGGCAAGAGAATTTTGAATTCAACACTAGCAGGGACTGCAAAGCAATATCCTATCTTTAAAAGGGAGGGGGAGCTTTGAAAATTGTGTTTCAAAGGATACCATTCAACGTAAAAAGATAACTGAGTGAGGTAACCCAGAGACAGAAAAACAAACACACGTTCTCTCTCATTTGTGGATCCTAACTCTGAATCTTTGGATATAAATATAGCTCTTATCACTCATCAAAAATTCTTTTTGCAACAGATGGAAACTATTACAAAGTCCCACAACTGGCCAAAATGCAGAGAGTAAGTGACCTTCTAGTGCCTAGCCCCAACTGATGCTTCTACAATGCAACCCCTACACCTAAGGCTCAAGGAGCATCATGGAAGTGGAGCAGAAACACTGTAAAAGACAGAAGACCAGAACACTTGCTGATAGTGTATTCTGGGAATGGTAGGGAAAATTCACCCATGGTATCACAATATTGTTGCTTAAACAAGACCTACATAATGGTAACACCAGTTGACATGCCAATATAGACGGGGGAAATACCACAGGGTCCTAGCTCTAGATGAAGAGCTACAGGCAATCAATGGATGCCAAGGGAGGGAAAAACAGTTTTCTCCAGGAACTAGCTCTCTGATTGGTTTACTGATCTCAAGTGGTCAGTCTTAAACACAGGTACACACAAGCACCACTAAATGGACTCTATGCACATATAGAAATATATGTAACAATAATAATCAAAGAGGATAAGAAATGGAGAGGAAGTAGAGGAGGTGTGGGAAGAGTTGGAGGGGTGAAAATGATGCATTTATAATACTCATGCAAGAAATTCTCAAAAACAACAAAAAAAAGTAAAAAGACAATCTGTAGCCTAGCAAATGATATTAACAGATCATACATCTGATTTTTAAAAATGTATCTAGAACATTTTATAAAAAATGTTTGCAACTATATAATAACACACCTTTAAAAATTGGCAAATAATTTGAATGGCTGTCTCTCCAAAGAAGAGATTCAAATAGTCAATAAATATATGAAAGAAAAGAAGCATAACATCATCAGTCACCAGGGAATGAAAGTGGGGATCACCTAACACACACCCACATGGATAAAATCCAAAAGAGACAGTGTATGCTGGAGAGAATGCTGGGGGGAAGGTGGAGAAACGGGAACCCTCAGATGAATCTGCTGAGAGGGAAAATGCTATGGCCACTTCGGAAAAGTTTGACAATATCTCAAAGCGTTAAACATGGCTGCTGTATGATCAACAGTTTCACCCTGGAGAAATGAAAGCACCTGGCCACAAAAAGTTGCATACAATGTGCACAGCAGTAGCAGTTACAACTGATAAAGGGTGGAAAGAATACAAATGGCATCAACTGATGAAGCACATAAATGTGATGCACATCCACACCATAGAATATTTGACCACACAAATGACAGAAACAGTGTTACATGCTGCAACACACACGAACCCAGAAAGCTATGAAAGAAGCCAGACATAAAGGAGCACATTGAGCTAGTCCATGTGTATGGCATACTGAGATTTATATGAAATACTGAGCACAGGCAAATTTATAGACAAAGAAGGTAGATTAGTGCTTCTATTTTATTCTATTTTGTGTGTACATAAATGTCTTTTTGTGCTTGCAAAAAGATGTTCTCAAATGTATTTTTGGAGAACTGAATAGGAAGAGGGGAAAAAATCAGAATTTTCTCTCAAAGATTAAACACAGAACCACTTGTCAAGTAGTCAGTGACAACTGAAGAAATTCCCTGATAGTCTCAGATGATCAATATCTGGTGAATTCAACTCATTTATTGGTTTTGACAATGCCCTCCATTCAAAGAAGTCCAGGCTCTTCTCACATCACCTCGCCTCTGCCCAAATACTAGAAACACACTCTAAATATTAATATTAGGGTTTATCAAAACCTACAACAGGTTTTCTATGAATAGGAGAAATAACCCCCAATTCAATTGCTTTGTTTTTATTTTTACACACTGCCCCTGCAATGCTCATGCATGTGCTCAATGAGGTGTAACCCAAACTGTTGCACTGATGTTCTTCCTGAATGTCTATGAATGGTATCAAGTGCTAAGCCGGATGATAAAGAATATGCAATTTACAAAGCTAACCTGGGTATCCTGAAGGCAGATAAGACATTGGGTGGCAAAATTAATATAGTGAGCATCAAATTTCACAGGCATACTGGTCATTAAGAACACAAACACACACAGGAAAGACCTCACCTTCAGTTTCTGAGCCCTACAGCATAGATAACATCATACTATCATACTGTGTATTTGATACCCTCAAGAAATAGATGTCAGCCATGAAATTTCTAAATGCTGAAACTGGATATTAGAACTTAAAACTCCATCACATACTAGGGAAATATTTGAGGAAATTTTGGTTAATTCAGAAAGAGGTGGCAGACATCTTAGAACTACCTTGTAAAGCCCTCTGACGATCACAGCTCCAAGAAGTACCTTCAGTACAGTTTCACAAGAGATCCTCAGCCAGCAACTAATCACTAAGCTGCTCCAAATTCCTAAGTACATGATAATAAGCACTTGTTTAAACAACACTTAAAAAAAAAGCCAGGTCATCGTATCTTTATCTTCACTGAATTTTAACAAAATGCATAGGTCTGAATCACTGCTGTGTGAATTTATGCTACAAGGCAAACAAAAGTTTCTAGACAAAAAGTGCTTAATAATAAAACATAAGAAGAATATAAGGTATTCTTCTCCAAAAAGATAGTAATGGGCTGTGAGGTGGGAGGGAAAGGAAAGTCCCAAAAAGAAATCGGAGCAGGTGTGACCTTGGCTTCGGGCCACGGAGTAGAATGAAGATACTGGGTCTGGACACAGCCACAAGAATGGAGAGGAAATGGCCAGTGTGCCTTCCTGGCACTTCACTCCAAGTACCACCAAACACGGGGAAAGGACAAATAACTTTTCATCATACAATATTCTCAAAGTTTGGTAGCTGGTTTCTTAGCTATACCACTACCCAAACAGACTGAATATAAAAAAAATTTACAGATCCATTATAGTAATAGTATTTATTATAGAAATGGCCTTTAAGGTGGCTGTGGTGGCACATGCCTTTAATCCCAGCATTTGGGAGGCAGAGGCAGGCAGATCTTTGTGAGTTTGAGGCCAGCCTGGTCTACATAGTGAGTTCCAGGACAGCTGGGGCTATAGGGAGACCCTGTCTCAAAAAGAAAAAACAAAACAAAACAAAACAAAACAAAACAACCTTTAAAAATTCTTAGGTTCATAAAATTAGGAAAAAATTGACATATTATGACATATTATCACAATGATTCTTTATTTTCAGGAATAACTATTTCTGTAAACAGGTGTTCAAAAAGTTTTCCCTTCCCTACTGTTCTAAGAAGCACTAAAATAAGAAAATGTGTCATGAATATATCAGTAAAGATTAGCAATTAGTTTCCTAAAATTTTATCGACCTACAACAGGTTTTCTATGAATAGGAGAAATAATTCCCAATTCCACTGCTTTGCTGTAATTTTTAAGTACTGCCCCTTTTGTGTGGAAGGGGCGGTATTTCAATCTCTGGGTGTCACTTACTTCAAAGGAAGGTAGTGAGCTAACTGAGGCTACAGTAACTCTAGAAATGATGCTCTTAGAATTTCATTGTGTTACAATTTCTCACAAGTCACAGACCCTGGTCAAGACACACAGTATTTACCTTCTTCCCTCCTGTCACGAACTGCTTACAACTGGATCTCAGGAACTGCGGGTGCACTGCAATGATCTACAAGAGAAGAAGTATCCACTCTCGGTTTAAAAGTTGCCATTAAAGCACAAGGTCACAACCCTTTATCTATCATGCACAGTATGACCTGAAAACTGGTATCTTGGTAGGCAATAATTCATTCAGGTAAGGTTTTGCAATGACCAAAAACATCTTAGTTCTGCTCTTGCGGGAGATAATTTCCTTGAATCAAAAATCCAAGCTCCCACACAAGAATAAACTAGTTCTAGTCTCTGGCTGAGGAAAGCCTTCTGAGTAGACTCCTCTTCTAAGGGACAGCTGGGAGGTTGATCAAGACAGCAAGGATATCACAACAATTTGTAACTAAGTATATTTCCTAGAGAAACGCAGAGAATAAACTATCTTCTTATTCGAGATGCCTCCCAGTGATGGAAGGCAGATGATGGAACCTGTGACCCAATACCTTACAAAAGAGAACAGTACATGAAGACCCTGCCCTTGACAGCACAATGTGCAGGACCTCAGAACTATGGGGCTAAGCATTCAGGACTCCCGCTCTTACCTGTGTGTCCCCATGATCTCCTCTGCTTTGCCCTCAGTCCATCTCCCCAGCCCCTTGTTATGCAGGTCTCCCCTGAGGCTGCTTTATCACTCTTTATTACTGCTGGTGGCTTTAGGATCACATAGCACTACTCATAGTAACAGTGATATTCTAGGGGCTCTAACCAGACTAGCTCTGTCTTTTGAGACTCATCTGTTATACAGGTAAGCTTAATATAATCTACCTTCTTACTGTTTTAATCACCAAATAGTCATAAAAATCAGAAACATCAGCCAGGCATGGTGGCACATGCCTTTAATCCCAGTACTCTGGAGGCAGAGGCAGGCTGTGAGTTTGAGGCTAGCCTGGTCTACAGAGTGAGTTCCAGGTCAGCTGGGGCTACAGGAAGACCCTGTCTCAAAAGGACCAAAAAGGAAAAAAAAAAATCAGAAACTTCACTAACCTTCAATTAAATAGGTATTATATTCTAGTAATTAACTGATACATTTCCTTCCTCCAGTGGAACAGGTCAATAGATTTCTCTTACACTGTCATTTTTAGGGTTTAGCACACAGCCTTTCATTCTTCTGATCGTCCAAACTTGCCAGGTTGGCTTTCTCTCCAGCATTGCCCTAACTCGTCTTTACCAATACAGAAGCAAATTCTATTTCTTAAAATCTCTCCTACAGTCCTTCGAGTGCTCTCATAACATATAACAAGCATCTCCTCTCCTTAAAAATACTACCTTACCTCCTCCCTACCTTTTAGCCATAGAAATATAAGCTGTCAGGACCACCACATTAAGCTGCTCCTCCTTTGGGGTTCTACTCTGCACCAGCTGGGCCTCAGCACCTTACGCCTGTCTCACTTATGAGCAAAACTAGGACTCCTCTAAGGTTACCCTCCTTCTCTAAGCTGCCAATCTCAATGCTTAGTGCTATTCTAACTGAGGACTTTTTCTCCTTGGTCTTTTCCTCTCTACTTACTTTTACCATTAATCAAAACATAACCTGTAGAAATTATCACCACACACTGCCCCTTCTTTCTACCACCCAGATAATGTTACTGTCGTCGTCTTCTTTTTCTCTTTTGAAAGAAGGCTTTACTGGTTGTTTTGATACTCCAACCTGGGATTGACCCTGGCCTCGTTGAGGCCGTGAGTAAGCTCAAAATGACCATATGTGCACTCCTGACTCCGTCTCCCACTGCTCTGTCTCCATGCCGCCTTCAACACTGCTGCCAGCTCTTCCTTCTGGACTCCCTCTCTTCTGGATGTTCCAGTTCCCTAACTCCTGCTTCTGAGCACTTCTTAACCACTTTTATTTCCACTGCTAGTCTTCAGAGAGCTCCACTATCCATATCAGTCCTCTTCTCACACCAGCTTTAAGCTAACAGCCTTAAAAATGAATTCCTTTTAGTCGGCTCGTTACCAACTGTGTTTGAGGGACACTCTCCATCCAGGGCCACACACATGTCCTAAATACTCTGTAAAATCCACCTCAAGTAATTGCAGCTATCTAAATGCATGGCCAAATTTGCAATGACTCAAGCCATGACCCTATTACAAGTGATGAGATTCCCTTACATCATTATGAAAGCAAGAGACCAGATTCATCCTTAGATTCTCCAACTTTGACTTCACTCAGTCAATCTGTTTCTAAGGCTGAAACGCTTACCTCCTAAACACTGTCTAATCCATCTCTTCTCCATCTTAAAGACTCATGATTGTGCCTTTTACCGAGCTCCTTAGTGCCCTGTTCACTGCAGTACATTAGCCTGTTAGCTCCATTTATGTCACCCTTTTGTTCTTAGATACTAGATAATTTCTCCTTTATCTATTAGATGGAAACTAAATTTCTTAGCCTCAAGACAGAGCCTGCTCTTATCTACCTTTTTGACTTTTATGAACCATTTAAATAAGACTGTTTGCCTCTTACTGAACACAGTTTGAACCTTCTGGCCTCTCCACCCTACTATGCTGAATTTCTATATGGAAAGCCAGCTCTTCTACCTGTCTCTGTCTATGTATAAAGCTCAGTCAGACATCCCCCAGTCTATATAGCTATTGCACACACACACACACACACACACACACACACCAATAACAACAGAAGCAGCAGCTAAAAGTGACTCCTTTTAGCTTGAAACTCATTAAAATTATTCATGCTTTTGTTAGTCTTTAATCAGATGTGAGAGAGAGAGAGAGAGAGAGAGAGAGAGAGAGGAGAGGAGATTTCACCCACTATAATAGCAGCACAGTCACATATCCTGCCCTAGTCACAGCTTGATGTGGCCTCAGCACATTACACATTGAATAGACACGTATTGGTAAAAGCTATATACTACTAGCAATGTCTGAATCTCTTTAAACATTCTATCTAGGTGAGAAAACTGCTTGAAAAGGAAAAACTTGCTAAATTCTTACTTTAATGGGACAGTCGAAAGTCTCATGAAATTCTTCTCCAGAATACAGTCCAAATACCTGTACCTATGAAGTAAAAAGACCAAGTCAGTTCATCTTGACGGAAACAGAAACGGCTGATGACACAGTGAGAGCAAATGCTAGCAACAAGAGAAAAAACAAAGTGGGACATTTAATGAGTCTAAGGTCCCATGAGCACTATTAAATATCTAGGACAAACCATTCCATCAGGAAGAAAGTGCTCTGCCGCAACCAAGCTTTTAAAAGCATTCCATGAACAGAGTTCCCTTTGCTCACCAAAAATTTATTAAATGGATGTGAACTTCCAAAAATGAAATAGCTAGGAGCAGGTTACTAACATACTTTCATGACCCTCCCATAGCGTACCCTTAAAGGAACCATTTCATCATCCCCTAAACCAGGAAAAAGGAACCTCTTTACTGAGTCACACACACATATGGCTCATATATACATACATACCAGCCAAACAGATCAATATGGCAGTAGAGAGAACTAAATTAAATATTTACAATCTTATGCTGAATCTATTCAGAGTGTATAAATGAAAGATTTAACTTCCTACTTATCAGTGTTTAAAGTTGTTTTGGGCCACTTTATTAACATTTATATTTTTCCATAGTTCTTTGAGCATAGCAACAACAAAAACAAAACTAGATATAATATACATATTATATGCAATATTATATACATAAAACATATATTATATATAACATAAAGAATGTAAATCACAGATTGTCAGCTTGACACATTTTAAAAAATATTTTATTTATTATTTTTATTTTATGTGTACGAGTGTATTGCCTGCATGTATGTTAGTGCACCCGTGTCGTGCAACGCCACAGAGGTCAGAAAGGGCTTCTGATTCCCCTGGAACTGGAGTTAAGGACGGTTTGTAGCTGCCATGTGGGTGCTGGGAATCGAACCCAGGTCCTCTGCAAGAGCAGTCAGTGCTCTTAACTGCTGAGCCATCTCTCCAGCCCCAACTTGACACATTTTTCTGGTATAACCTGACTCTCCAATCATCAGCTAGATCAAGAAAGGAAACCCAAGCCAGTTGTGCATCCCACATCTGGACTCCTAGCACTCAGAGGCTAAGGCAGAAGGATATGAATTTGAGTCCAGCCTGGGAAAAACAAAAAAAGAAAAGAAAAGGGGCCAGGGAGGAGGGTTGTAGAAGAAAAGGAGTGAAAGAAGAAAAGGAAACAAAAAGGAATAGAATCCAAGGCACTCCTCTACTTCCCTTCCCAGTCAACAGTACCCTAAAACCAACCACTACCTTGGCACCTGTTATCATGCATAAGTCATGGTATCATTTTATTGAATGAAAGTGTTATTTTAATGAATGAAAGTGTCACTGGCACTTTCATTCAACATATTCCTTTTGAGGTTTATGCACACTGTTGCATAAAGTAGCAGCTGGTTCTTTGCCCTTGCTATATAGTATTTCAATGTATGAATATGCCACGATTCATGTACTGCTTCCATTGATGACCACTTGGGTTGTCACCATATCAGGGCTCTTATGAATAGTGCTGCTATGAACAATCTTTCAAGACTCTTGTTGAACTTGTATTTGTGAAGATTATAGAACTAGAGGTGAAAATTCTCATTCACAGATTATAAATATGTTGATATTTAATAAAGAGCAAATTTGTTTTAATTTATACTCTTGCCAGAACATGAGAATTCTAGGAGTTCTCACAGAAGTGGAGTTAACTAGCAGCATTCAGGCTCTTAGGAATGAGTTCCCAATACTTCTCACATGTTTGCTCTTTTTCTGGTGTCCAGTATCATTTCTTCTTTCATTTTGTAGGAATTGACCTGTGGGGCCATTTGCATATAATGCCTTTGGTCTGAATGTCTGTATCCCTCAAATTCTTATATTGTAGACTTTAATGTTACTTTTGAAAAGTACTACCATTCTAATTACTTTTCAAAACAATCTTTGGGCAGCATAAGGCCAAGATATTTAAAACACATCTGTCAAGAGGATTTGCTCATGCTATTAAGAGATTAATGGGGGGGGGCGCTGGAGAGATGGCTTAGCAGTTGCTCTTGCAGAGGACCCGGGTTCAATGCCCAACACCCACATGGCAGCTACGAACTGTCCTTAACTCCAGCTCCAGGGGAATCCAAAGCCCTTTTCTGACCTCCATGGCATTGCATGACACAGGTGCACTCATATACATGCAGGAAATACCCTCATACATATAAAATAAAACTAATTTTAAAAATTAAAAAAAAAAGATTAATGGGTATAGCAATGTTGACAGAAGTGGGCATACCTTTTTTTTTTTTTTTTTTCTTTGCACTGAGTATATTCTTGGTCTTTTTGAGACAGGGTCTCCCTGTAGCCCCAGCTGTCCTAGAACTTACTATGAGTATATTCTTTCTAATTTACTCATCTTAATGGCCCATTGAACTTAGAGTACATAAAAATATAAAATTAGATGACGAAATCTCTGTTCGGTAAGGAATACATAAGATTTTATACTGATTTTCGATGCATTCTCTTCTTAGATTGTTATTTTAGAAAAGTAGTTTAAATACATTGTGCATTAGAATTTATCATTGCATTAGAAAAGACTTCAATTGACTTAGAAACAAAAAAGATATTCTTGTAAATGGAAATCAATCACCATGACCACTAAACGTCGCAGCTCAGCACCAGTGAGAAGCACTGATAATTCCCAGCTACATACAGCACAAATGATGTATGTTCTCAGACCAGGAAGTAGGGGCCAGGGTTTTAGAAAACTGTACATATATTGATTTTACATTTATTTAATGTGGCCATTGTAAGACACTTTATTCTTCTGATAAACTATGATTGCTCATCAAAAGATTCTATAATTCAAGAGTAACATTCATAACTTGTGTGTTAAAATGAAAACCACCAACCCACAGAAATCATGCCCACAAAATCCAATTTTGTGGATTTATGGCAGAAAAGCATTAAGCTACTGTCTTGCAAGAACTGCAGACTAGTCACTGAAGTCCAGTGGCACAGGAGTAATGATTAAGGTGACATGTCACCCTGCCATAACTGTTAATCAGCTTAATACTAGTTAGACTATTGACATTCTTGTAATTACTTTTCCTAAGGCACATTTGGTCAAAATATATTTTACTTTAATTATGAGCAATCAGAAGAAAGTCCAATACTCAAAAAGAATAATCAAGGCTCTCTAAATGCAGGTATAAAGCAAGCAGAGAGCATTCCAACCACCTGGGCGGCAAAATCCAGCACCCACTGTCCAAGCCAGACTTTGCCTCATCTCACCTTGCCATCCTCAGAGCACACGCCCATGTGTTCCCCGCTTTCATCCAAGCTAATCTGGTTTATCTTCACAGGACTCTATGAAAACAAACAAGCAAAAACCACATGTAAAACTTTAGGAAAACATTTAACACTGATGACATGTCTCTACTCTTTGGAAAACTTAGATGATAAAAGTTGTTTCTCTGAAGTGTAAGTGTAGGACACACTTTGTTTACAAATGAAAATGCTAATATTTCATATATATAAAACATAAATACAGCTTTGTTCTTAGCCTCACAGTAAACTCAGAAACCTAAGATGGCCACAAAATTTCTTTCACATACCTGGATAATCAGCTAAAATATTACTTCTTGGAAGGCTACATACCTTTTTAATCCACTTTATTTACTCTATATTCTTAAATTTATTTTTACTGACCAAAATCTATTAAAAGAACAAAACAAGCAAAAGCCTAAACAGAAGCCAAAGTGTAAATATATTCTCTAGTTATTTTATTTTGCTTGAACAATCTGTTGTCTTATAAATCATCAAGTCAACATTTCATTTATGCTTTATGCTTAGTACTTTGTTTAAGAAAACCATTGAGTCTAAGTCACATTAATTTATTTTGTATCCCCTCCTCTTTTAGATAATTTAAAATTTAAGAAAATTTCTACTTGTGGTTGATGCATTTTCCAAAAAGTAAATATAACAACTGCATGTTTAGTTTCCTACATACCCAACTGTTTACTTACTAAAAAATTCATACAAGTATGTTTTCTAATAAAGGGAAAAAAATAAGCTACTGTCATCAGCACTACAAAATAGCAAGCTCTTCTTTTCATCCTTAATAATGATTTCTAACTCTCTTACACGAAGTTCAAAGGAATAAACAAAGAGAAGAAAACAAGCCTATAGTATTCCAGCACAAACTTGCTGTTTAGTTTTTCAAAATAGCTTACTTTACAACAGTTTGACTTGTTGGTGAGATAGATGGAAATACACAAAACAGAATGCTAAATCTTCAACAGAAAAATATCATATAGCCAATAAACAAAGATCAGGGCAGACCAAGGCCCCCAACTTTGCAAAGGCCCACTGACTGATGCTGCTAAGATACATTCAAGTATAAGAAGAGAGAACTAGCTACAGAACCCTTTCACACCTGGATCCCTAAATCACCACACAAACAACACTGAAAAATAAACATCTATCAAAATAAAAAATTAAACATCCATGAAAATATAGGCTAGCTATAAAACTTCCTAGCATGCTAGAAAGGGAAAGGGCCACTGAATAGACAGGTGATCCACTTTACAGGACAATAAACTGAAGCCCACCACAGAGAATCATCAGAAACAAGAGCAGAGCTAGGCTTGTGACCTATGAGAGGAAGGCTTGAAGATGAAGACTGCAGATGGGACACTGTCAGGCAGCCAGGCAACTGCAAAGACAAGTGAGGTTGCCCAGCAGAAGCACCAGGCAGTGTGGTAACTGGACTGAGCGAGAGTCTAAGTGTCAGCCCCAGTCTTCTGATGACTCCTCAAGCTGGTCAACTTTTGTGAACAATTCCCCAACTCTGATAGATTTCTTATCAAAGAACACTTTACTCTTGGCAAGTATAAACCACAGATACCTCTCATTGTACTTAGGTACATTGCCTAGGTTTCCTTCTTCTGTTGAACAGAACTTTGTCAACAGATTGCTATATAAATTATGTAGCTGAAAGTTTTTAAAAATTTAGTTTCTCAGTTATAATAACACATATCAAGGGCTTGATAACCATACACAGCTGTACTGAAACGCAGATCACAGAACATGTTTCCACTGCAGAAAGTTCTAGAGGGTACAGTGCTTTAAATCTACAAACTGAAATTCAATGCTAAAATACAACAAACAAATCAAGACTTCATTATAAAGCCTCTTACTGCAAGTTATATTAGAACTGTATTTTCATTCAACATACACATCAAGTTTTATGCCATCTATTCTTGGATTCTTGTTACTGAAAGACCCTTGCCTGTCCTAATAGTCTATGAATCATGCTTATCATTTCCAAAGATGTACCACATAACTTTTTTGATATTCGACCTTAGAACAAAGTGGTCAGCTAACAGCAACAGGTGTCCTGCCTCACAATAAGGAATATGCAGCTTCAATGGTTTATGTGAGTGGTCCAGTGACACAGTACTGCTAATTAGCTAGGCCATATGATAGTATTTCAAGAGCAGATCAACCTAAATCCCCATAGCAATACCAAGTAGAAACTGTATCATCATATTAACAGTATTATGAAGAAAAAAATAAGACTACAAAGTTATGGCAATTCTTTCTCCCTAATCTCTGTTAGCAATAGATTTCTTAAAACTTTTTTCTGCCAGTGATCAATATTCACTAATAATTATCCTTACGTGTATTTGCCAATTAATTTGCTCTTCCATAAAATACCTCTTCTCTTTTGAACATTTTTTTCTATTAAGATGTTTCTTGTTTTTTAATCACCCACTGTATAACCACCTATTTTTTCCAAGATGGTTACTGCTTTATTTATTACATTTTCAGCTTAAATCCCTTCAGAATAATTTTTTCCTGAAAATGGGGACCAGCTTGGTTGGCCCCATTTATTAAACAATGTGCTCGTCTTCTCTTGGAAG